TCATACCAGTGCCTTTTTCTTGTAAGTATAATAAGTATTGTGAACTTTCATACTTCGATCATAACTCTTTTTCTGATACTCATATTACAAACTAGTTTTTTTGGGGTTGTTGTGGTTTCGCCCGTATCTTCGTTGAAGTACTAGTGTGTGGTTTTATTCATAACTGCAAGTGTGTGATTTCGTTAAGCTTGTAAGTATAATAAGTGTTGTGAACTTTCATACTTTGATCATAACTCTTTTTCTAATATTCTTTATTTCGATAGTATATTAGGTTTTGCTCCACCCAAAGTCGACTTTGATAATACCAGTACCTTCGCTTGTAAGTATAATAAGTGTTGTAAACTTTCTTACTTCGATCATAACTCAATTTTCTGATGTTTTTTATTTCAATAGTACATCAATAATCTTCAGGTTTTGCTCCATCCAAAGCTGACTTCAATCATACTAGTGCCTTTTGCTTGTAAGTATAATAAGTGTTGTGAACTTTCTTACTTCGATCATAACTTTTTTTCTGATGCTCATATTACAAACTAGTTAGTCAAGTAACAACAATATTCTCTCCTGTTGAATAATGGGTATATATCAGGAGACAAATCTCCCAATATGTACCCATTATTTTATCATAGATCTGCGAGTTAGATCAATAATTGTAATATGACAGTAACATACTAGAACATCCCGGTATTTTCCTCTTAGCACTATTTGGACTAAGAGTAAGATACCAGAATATCCCAGTATGTTACTGTTATATTACCATTAGCAATTTATCTCCCGATATTTAACCAATATGCTACAGTTATTTGGCGGATCTATGGTAGAATAATGGGTACATATCGGGAGATTTGTCTACCGATATGTACCCGTTATTCATTGATTCAACCTGTGATATGCCTCTGATATAATAGAGTAGGTTCTAGAATGTGTATCTTTCATATTAAAAAGTGAAGCATCTATTTTCCCTTTTATTGTAAAGTATCAGTTACGATTTTCTTACTATAAATCTTCACTATTTTTAGCTTACTTTTAGTGAATTAGTATACTTGTTATAAAAACTTTTAGCGGTTGATACTACATTGTGTGTTTATTATGCGTCGCTCTTCATTATACTATATAATAGTATATACTAACTCCTACCTTTAACTTAATCTGTTGAGTTAAAGTTTGGAACCGGTTTTATTTTTCATATGTTAAAACCGATTAAACTGGGTTTAATGTATAAAAAATAAAACCAGTTCAAACTCTATGTTGAGTAACATTACACAATTAAATAATATGACATGATCCTACGGAACATAAACTGCTGATCCTATGTAATACAAACTGCCGATTCTATATAACACAAACTGCTGATCCTATATAATACAAACTGCCGATCCTATGTAATACAAACTGCTGATCCTATGTAATACAAACTGCCAATTCTATGTAATACAAACTGCCGATCCTATATATTATTACTATAGCCACGTGACTTATAGGGACTAGCAATATAACGCCATAGCAATAAATTATAAAATCCATTTTTTTATAATCTTTATTATAAAAAAAACTTATATATTAGGATATGATGATTTAGTGAAGTGGTAGAGTTATTGTATTCCTAGATAGCAAGTTTAGAGTTTGAATTCTACAAATAATATTTTTAAAAAATAGTCTTGTAATATAGTTAATAGCTATTACTAATTGGTTAAATTCTAATCTATAATCTTGGCTATACTATTTAGAATAAGAGCTTTGATATAATAAATTTAAAAAACTAAAATAACTAAAAAACTGTTTGGCAAGTTTCAAGTTAGAAGATAGTATGATTTTTGACAGTGCTACAGAAAGACTAAATTTGAAACCAAAAACTAAGATTAGAAAACTAAATAATTAGATTTTTAAATAGAAAAACACACTAGCCAAACTACCAAATTGCCAATTGAAAAAAATATATATATACTTTGAAAACATGTATCAAGAGAAAGTTAATTATGAGATATTTAAAGTTTGAGCAAACCAACCCTTCTAAATACTAGCTAGACATAAAGAAGAAACTAATAAAAAAAAAAGTTTAAATATAGGTATTGGAATTGTATAAACTTTACAAAAACAATATGATTTTCATCACTTTTATAGAACTGTTGTATATAATATGACCATCAATAATGAATCTGCTTCGATATAATATTAGATAAGTCAAACTTTTTACGAAGATATTTTCACAATTCTACAGGATTTAAGTTCAAATTTTTACTAATTTCTTGCTTTATTTTAGATAGCATTGTAAAATTAACGGGTCTTTTATAAAGAAATTTGTGTTTTAAAATTATTTTTACCTCTGTTGCTAGGATATTAATTTTAATTGATATTTTACCATTACAGTTATAATAGAAGATTCTTTCATGACTTAAATCCTTGAATTCACGCTCAAGTTTAAAACTTTGAAAGCATATGAAATAAGTATTTTCAACACCGGAATAATGAACTGAGAGGTTTGGTGCGGTTGTAGCTCTATTAGCAAATACAATTAATTATTATAAAATTAATAATACTTTATAATACTTTGGTAAAATTTATTGATTTTAGTATATATTTGTTGTAGAATTATTTTTTTTTGGACTTTGAACTATTTTATTAGATAACTCTATAATTATTTAGATTTGACCAACAAGTATATATGCAAATACACATATTTAAGCAAAAATTTATACTGTATAATTAAAATTAACATACGTCTAGTTATAGTTATTACCTTCTTCTATTTTATTAATAATTAATTTGGCCATAATTCTAATATCTGTATTAATATCTTTAATAGTTGCCTCATCAGGTCGAACACAGAAGGTAAGAGAAAGTTCAGCATAATCATTAAGGTCATCGATTGCATTGGCAATATAATTATTAATTTTTTGGATAGAAATTATTTCGATAAACACTTGTTCAAGATCAGAATCATCAAGTGATTTATTTTTTTTGGCATTCCTCTTTTCAGCTCTTGAAATTCTACAGCAGTTACAAGTATCATAATATTTACTCTTAAATAAGAATGCATCAGAAGAAAGAACACCTGCACAAGTGCTACAGATAGGCATTATTCTAAGTGTGATTTATTATAAGAAATTATGTAGTTTTGAAGTTTTGATCTAATTGATAGAATTTATTTTGGCTTGAGAGCAATTTTAATATTTCAATAATCAGATAAGTAA